CCACAGTGGACACAACTGCAATGTGGCCAATCACAATTCTTGTCAAATCTAATTGGCTGGCCACATATTAAAACCAAGGAACTCCGTTTTTTCGACACTTTTACAACTATGGAGGAGTGGGGCAAGACATCTCAGGGTATTCCCATTCAGCGCATTACAATTCGTCCCACATTAAGTGAGAAACTCGCCACGGGACCGGAAGCTGAAGTGTGGACAAAAGTCCGAGCGTTAATCATAACCTACGGTGCTGCGATTCAACAATTGTGGATACCGGGTTTCACCGACAGTGGGGGCAAAAAAAAGAATGGTCTAAGTGTTGCTGATGTTGTGCTCGGGTACTCGGATCTTACCGGTTACGAAAAGAACCCTTCCTACCAGGGCGTAATCGTTGGCAGGGTCGCAGGTCGCGTGAGTAATGGCAAATTCACCTTGCCGATTGAGCTAGACCCTTCAATATCGACCGTTTATAAGCTGTCCAAAAACCAACAAAAGAAGCATTGTCTACACGGAGGAAAGTAAGTCAATGACGGTATAGGTACTGGCCTCACTCCGTTGGGCTAACATAATGTGAGAATGTAATTTCTAGGATCTCATATATATTGAGCAATTTCTCAGTGAGATTTTAATTTTTTTTACTAAACGACTATTAATTATGATGACGACAAATTTAGCTTCAGTATTAAAGCTCGATAGAACATTGATTAAATGTTGTCGCACAGATTTACTGCAGTCCCTTAAATGAAGCTTCCTGCAACTTTTATATCTACAGTAAAATGAGTTGCGTAGAGAACGTTAAGTGTGTATGGGCGCAATAGAGACAGGCGCTTCATCATCGAGCTGCTGTTATTAAAGTCTGTACTACTGCAGTTTTCATTAGTCACAATTTATCTAACAGAACCTCAAGCACAACACAAGCTCATGGCCAATCTTTGTTTAGTTAGCAGCATGTCAAGCAAGGCTTTGGAGGTAAAACTTATTTTCTAAACCTTAAGCACTGGACTGTCATTCCGCGCCTGGCAGGTAGTGGAGCGCAAACAAGATAGTGTGAGACTCAAGGTGACTTCGGTGGATGGCGAGGACGGCTTTCCCGGCAACCTCACAGTCTACGTTACGTACCGTCTGAGTTTGGACGAGGAGACACACCAGCTTCACCTTGGCATCGACTACTTCGCGAGTATCACTGACGGAATCTGCCCCATAAACCTGACAAATCACACGTACTTCAACCTGGCAGGTCACCGAGCTGGACCCGACGCCCTTGACCGCCATTTTGTTTGCATCAAAGCCGATAAAATGTGCGAATTCGATGGTGAGAACATACCAACCGGTAGATTACTCAAAGTTGGTCGTGTGGATGGGACCGATCTTAGACACATGATATGTCTAAAGGAGGGACTTAGAAAGATTCACCCTCCTCCCCATCAAGGTTTCGACGATTTCTACGTGTTCAGGGACCTACCCGAAGAGGACTCCAAGGTCACCGTAAATGAGCCCAACTCCTGTCGTCGAATAGACCTGTTCACCGATCAACCAGGGGTGCAGTTCTACACGGGTAATTATCTGGACCCAAAATCCGACCCGGTGGGCAAAGACACATTTAGCTACCCACCACATGCAGGATTCTGCCTGGAGGCGCAAGGCTTTCCTGACGCAGTCAATCGATCGAACTTCCCTAAGCGGTTTGTCGCACCATGTGGAAGAAGTTACACTCAAAAAACAAAGTACGTATTTTCAGTGCAAAGGAACGAAAATCACCACCAATAGCTTGAGAAATCAATCGTTAAGCCCAGCCACAACACTTGGCTAATTACTTCTATGTGACAATTGAATACCTTTTCGTAAGGGAAATTGACTCCCGAACACTGCTTCTATTGCATGCATTTTACAAGCGGAAGTTTAATTAGACTGTTTTTGATGTTACAATGAAATCTTTTCTAACGAGACTCTTCTTCACCACGTGGCAAATTATTCGCAACAGACCTTGCAATCAACGGTGTCTACGTTCGCCATGTACACTTAATAGGTCAATGCTGTACCACTACTGACTACAAGACACTGCACACACGGGAAATCCCAGGTCCACAGTAAATTGCAAGGCAGCAGCGCTAGTGTCGGCTTAATTCCGAGCACTAGTGCCGTATTGTGGCATCAAAGAGACAGCTTAGTCCAAAAAGACTTGAGAAGATATTTGAAACCAAGAAAATTAAAATAACCAGCAACACTAAAAATGCTAATTCATTTAAGTTTAGGATTCCCGTTTAACAGATTTAACAACTGAAAGCAAACATTGTGATTCTGAAGAACCCATTTTGACTAAGGTATGAATCGTTAGGTGGCTAAAATTGGTGAAAGGAATTACGCCGCATTACCAATTCTCTGGATGGGCTAAAGCAAAATAAGGTTAACCAGTAATCCCCGAACCACGTCTCACATTATTGCAGTCAGCAGCATGATGAAGCTAAGTCCTACTAACGACGATCGACATATTGCTCAATTAGCTTTTGCTAAAATCAAGAGGTTAGTAAAAATCACGTGTATTAGTTAGAATCGGTGAAAAATGGAATCAATTTAGACACGCACATTCAGCATATGGCTCTCGGAGGGCACGAAGACTGGAAATGTTAATTGGACGTCTGATGCCGCATACTGGTCTGTTTAATCAAAGATTCTAGTGCCAGAACTGATTTGCTTGTTGGTAGACACTCCCCAAGAACTTCTATGAGAAGCGGTTCAGATAAAACAGAGATGACAAAGTCCTTCCTACTGATCACGCCATCCTTGTCCTTGTCAAATAAAGCGATTACCATATCAACCATGTCTGATTTTAATTCATCAGCATCTTCTTCAGGTAACTTCGCAATCAAAACATCCCTCAAGAAGTACTGTACATCCTCTTTCGAGAGGTAGCCCCGGTTTTGATGATCATAGACCGTGAAAGCGAAGTTCGTCATTTGCATGAATGATCCACGAAGAAAGATATTCAGGGTGAAGATCCAATCGTCGCACGTGAGAGTGGAGTTGGATGAAGAGTGGGTGAGAGCACTAAAAATGCGCTCCATCATGGTGTGATTCGTAAAATCGAAAAAACTGAAAAGAATGTCATTAAACACTGGACGATTAATAGGCGAGTGGTATTTCTCGACAATTTTGTCAAAGATGCGCAACAGCCCCTCGATTTCTATGCGGGTAAAATTGGTCTTCCTTTCCAGTTCCATTGCCTTGTAATAGAATCTTGCCTTAACGACAGAGGTAAATGGCCGTCTCTCTGCGTTACTTGGAGGTGGCGGGTGTCTATCCATCGACGTTGGTGATTGTGCGCCTGGGGGCAATCAGACTTAATCAAATAATCAATCGATAATATAACAGGACGAAGTGTAACGACCTTGATGAAACAGCTGAGCGATTTGCCTGCGTCCTGTATGCAGATTGAGGTAAAGTACAACCCCAGTAAAATACCTTCAAGGGGAATTCAGTTACAGCTGAAGAACCTTTCAACAATCGAAAAGCTTGACATTTTGTTCCATGATGCCGTGACCGTAAATAAGGCAAACCAATTTCACAGTCGCGGTGGTTGAACAGCGAGACTGTAATGTGGTCATAAAAAATGCCTACTATTATGAAGGTGTCCAGATGCTACCAACATGTGCACAATAGTTGAGTTGAAACACAAAGATCGCTCTTGCATTGTTTGCTTAACAAATACGATAAGCAAAAGCATTTAGCAAGCAACGTCTCCTTCTGCCGAACGCATTGATTATGATTGCAAGATATGAAGGTTTCACGCAGCTGAAAATCACACGCAATTTTACACCGTAATTTGCAAATCACGTCTACCTAAATGCCTGAACCTATACAAAACGAAGTAACGTGACCAAAGACTTCTTTGCATGTAAACACCCACAATAATTCACTTGAATAAGTACAAGACTGGGTCGGGTGTTAACATTCACGATCACAAGGACAAAAGTTCACATAACTACAATAAAAAATACTTTTGCAATCCTTGTCGGGGACCTCCAGAATTGTTTAGACCGCAAATACTTTGATCAGAGTCATGTTTACTCTAAATTTAAAATTACATGTATCTGTAGGAGGAAGTTTGCTTTGCAGTAGAATTGGATTTTTAGGTGCAATGTGTAAAATTGTTTCGACACGAAGCAACGAATTTGGATTTGAAGAGGGACCAGATTGTGTCGTTGAAGAGTACTTCGCACAAGAGCTTCTCAGGGTCTTCGGGACAACTTGACACCTGCAACACCATTGCGTTTGCGTAAAGCCAGCTGAAATCAAAGGACCTTGGTTAGACACCGTTCAGCCCATTTTCTCAATTGCATTTGATCGACTGTAAAAAATTAAAAAAAAAACAAAACAATGGGAAAAACAAGCAGCAAATTATTCGTGTTTAGTGCATTTAGGGATGCGTTTGTGTAGAAGAGATAAGGTAGGGCTTCATGACTGTACATTTTCAACCAAACAGATCCACTTACAAAAAAATAATTTAAACGATTTTATACATTAGAACCCACACCAAAGCCTCATCCACTTCTTAGGTGTAAATACAGGCTGTGTCTTCCAAAGAGGTTGGTAAAGTGTGAAAAACAGAAACAGCTAAAATTTGAAAGTGGGAATGAGACTAGCCGAAATTCGCAAAAGATTAATGAGTTTAAATTACATTGGAAAGTGCAACAGTGACGGAAAAATGACGATTTCAACTTAAGTGAACTTGGTGTAAACAAAGCACAGGATGAACCCATTTTCTATTTCACTTAAATAACCCTTCACTATGGAGAGATGTGTTTCCAGAAGGTACTGTAACCGCCGGCAATGTCAAAGGCGGAAGGCAGAGGCTGTCCGGGCTAGCGCTGCACCACACACCGACAGGCCAGAGCTTCGAGTTGAGTTAGCAACTTTCCGTCTCCGAGAACGCATGTGGCGGCATTTCAAGAAGGCGAAATAGAATATGATTGTGAAAAATCTAAAGACGCACTGACTTATCCGACGGAGAGAGATGAAAAAAAGGTGGCCGAAACCAGCACGTATTTGCGTGCATGGTGGTTAAACACACTTCAGTAAGCGCTTTTGAAACGCCTCCCCTGTGAGACAGACTTAATGAGCAACGAGAAAAACGATTAAAAGGCGATTTGGCAAAAACATTTTACTACGAAAAGTGCTGAAAAAATCTAAAAAAAGTAAAAGCTTTTCAGTCCGAGGTTTTACCAAAGTGAATCAGGACAATGCTGTAAAATATCATTTGATACGAGCAAAGTCGATCGTAATCTATCCTAGGGACTAGGCTTGGTGACACGAGGCACGAGTGAATCACGAGAAGAGACGCCGACGCCGACCAATTTGAGTCGACGTGGGGTGGTGGCGAGACCGGTATCTGGGCCAGGTCGGGTTCAGTAAAAAAACAACGACAGCTAACTAGTGACCTTAATGCGCAGAGCCAAAAAGAAAGCTTAGGATCACAGAGCGCTCAAAGAGTCGGTTCATGTGTGCCTTAAGTCCGTGGAAATACTCATTTCTACAGATAAACTGTAACAAGTTGAACAAAATAGTGCCTTTTAGTTTTATAAGTGGTTCGAGATTGCACCACCAACAGTCTTCACCAGGTCCAGACAAAAAATGGGTTATTTTGGCACAAATTGAACGGGAAACTGTTGGATAAAATTTTTAATGTAGCATGTTTTCTTTAACAGGTTGACGCGAGACGTCTTAAAGGTTAGACGCAGCGTTGGCGGGGAGAAATGTGCTTAATAAACACACAATAAAGGCGACTCTCACCTGAGGGCTCGGCTTCCCTGTTTCATGCGGAGTTTCCTCTTCGACCACCCGAGGCCAGAGACGAGAGCGAACTCAATGAGGTTGCGCAACTCAGCGATCCCGGTATTGTTGACACAGGAAACCTCCACATCTAGCTGCAACTTGGTATGCACGGAGGAGTCGATGTGTGTGCTTAGAGAAAGAACATATAACAAAACCGATCATTTTTGGTTTGTGGGAAAGCGCTTAGATAAAATCGTGACTACAATTAGCAAGCATCCAGAGTAAGCGTCAGACTACCCAAGATCCGCCTTATTGCCAACACGAATGAGAACAGGAGAGCTGGAGTCCCGCTCGCCCAGATCAGTTGCTCCTTTTGTGTCGATGGACAAATCTGCCAGACGTCGAGCCTGAACACCAGATTCCTGAAGCACGCGCTCAATATAAGCTGCAAAAGCAGGCCAGCCAGGCTGACTCGAATCAATCACGTGAAGAATTATTTCCTACAAGAAAATAAAAGGAACATCAAATTAATGGAAACAGCTCATTTCTGTAGGCGGAAGACCTCAGTGCTGTCTGAGGGCAAGATTAATTCGTTTTGAATAGGCGAAAATGAGAAAATTTGAAGTACGGCGACGATTCAGACGTGATCTCCATAAAAAACAATGAACAACCAAATGGTCCCGTGGTGTGCTTACTACAAGTTCAGTTTACGTAGTGAGGACGGGGGTAGAAATGAACTTCGTCGAAGGTGGAATACCCTGGGGATGTGAATCATATAGCTTTCGTTTTCAAAGGAAGGATGACCGTTTTCCTTCAGTTACGGTTTTGAAGAAAAACCAAATTGACTAACCGCATCAAGACATTCAGAAAGAGTTGCCTTAAAGGCGGCAATCAGATTTTGTGGGAGATCAGCCATGAAACCGATAGTGTCGACCATGAGCAGACGGAGACCAGGGACCCCGGAGCTATCGGAGGTTTTGGGTGGTGGGAGTCTGGCTGCATGATGAGTCACATCGAGGGTGGCAAAGACTCTTGGTGAGACGACCATCCCCGCGGATCTCGTAAGGTGCCGGATTAGACTAGTCTTTCCTGCATTAATGAGAAAACGGCCACTTCAAGGCAATGCACCGATGGGACAGGTTTTCCAACACGGCATAACACCTTCTTACCGGCGTTTGTATACCCAATGACTGCAACCGTAGGGAGTCGATTTGTTGTTTTTTCACGGCGTCTTTTTCTGCCGAGTTCTTTTCGTTTTTCTTCCTCCACCAATATGGCACTCAATTTGCGTTCCTGGTCCTAGGAAACAAGTGACAACAGTTTAAACTAGGCCACAACAAAGAGACAGCTTTACAGTGCTAGAGGTATGATCGCGGTCGTGAAAGTGATTTATCGAGCTGTTTTTCAATAGTACAACCCTAGGATATGGCTATTCATACTAGAACCGTTCCACTTTCCAGATTACCCAGATTTCAGCGGTCAAATTATCAACCTCGTAGACAACTGGCAGTCATCTTCGTAGTCAATGGGCAAATATTGAGGTTGCAAAATAAAAGAATCTGAAAAAAACACCAGATTACTAATTATCTCATTCCAAACGGCGCCGGTTAGGTTTATTGCACCACTCTGTGCTTAAAACGCACTCTGAGCTGCGCCAAGCGAATCAGACGACCAAACACGTATTAAGGAGCAAAAAGCAAATTACGTCGAGGACACGGTGAAGATGGTCGATGCTGCGTGACTTTGGTTGGCTCAAGGTTGAGGCGGCGGTCGCCGCCAGTAGGCGACTGCGAATGACGCCGAGCTCGGCCAGTTGTGCTTGAGCTTTGGCCTCACGAGAACGGGCTCGAAGGAGGAACAGGTGCACCACCAGCATATACCTGGAGAGTTGGTGGAGAGGAAGAAGAAAAAGAGGGCTTAGCGCACACACCGTTTTGGTAGTTTAAAGACTGACGACCAAATCGCATCAAAGAGCCAAACAAAAGCATTTAACACGGCCACACTAACACGATAAACATAGCCTACGTTCTTCGAGTAATTCGTGAACTCAGATGCGACGAGTGAAATGGGGGCACATCAAGAGCTGTCAGAATAGGATTTCGGATTTACAAATCACCCGACGCGAAAACAACTGTGCGTAGACATGACATACTGCGTATTAAACATGACCTATGACAGCGTTCGGCCTGTCAGGTGAAAAAAACAGGTAAACGTGCAACAATTTGAGACCAGAGCGATTGAGGGTAACCGTTAGTGGAATATCAAATGGTGTTTAAATTCTTTCTGTTGCGCCTTATGAATCAAAACAACAAGTCGGCAAACTGACACAGCGGAAACGCCCAAAGGCAATAATTTCTGAACAACCACTTTCTCAACAATGAAACGTCAGTAGGTGAACGGAAACCATCAAACGAGAATGTGAGCTGAAAAATATCCACTGTTTTATGAGCCATACACAATGGGATTTAAACCCCACGTGGTGCATGGTAATGGCAAACACATCTAAAACAAACTGCACAAATCTACTTCAGGGAAGTAAGGTTTCTTGTCTAGGCTAGAATTTATTAGCTTTGTAAAACGGTTGCAGACCGTTTAAATGATCATAAATCCCTTACAAGTGCACGACAGGTAGATTAATATCACTGTTACGCAGAAACCCATTTGGCATATATCCAGTAGCCTAACATTAATGAATGTAAAGATGAAGAAAGTAAACTTTCCATTTTTTAGATATCCAGGTGGATTTCAGAATTAGGTGCCACTGAGAGTGAAGACGCCGAGAAAACTGACAGTTGACATACGAAAACACCAATATTTACAGGAAGAATGTGCACGTCTGTCGGCAGATCAGATCGACCTGTTGTTTGTCTGTAGTTGGCACGCAAATTGCCAAAACGTTTACCTTACCACACCCTAGTACGGCGTATTACAAAAGTCTTTAGAGACAGCACTTTCCAAATTCCCATATTTCGATAATAGTGAAGTTAAATCTGTCGCAGATCATCTTGACTGCCAGCTGCGTCGCGACAAGAATGCAAATAATAGTAAACATCTGAGGCAATTTTTTTACTGTGAGAACCTTTCTAGTGGAAAGTGTTTAAGACCACGGTTAGGATAAAACGCACATTAAAACAGTTGGACATCTTCATCAAGTGAAGACAAATTGTACAAAAATATTACTAGTTAAAAAATATGACATATCATAGGCAATCGGTCCTGTGTCCATCCATGATGAACTTCAATGTTTCTTCTGAATTATACCTGCATGTACAAACTCCACCAATTCTACATGCTAACACACCAATGACAGGCGCTATGCTGCTCACTCTTAAGCGTGAAGACATGAGGATTTATTGGACCAATAAACACTTGAGGCCTCAATTACCTTCGGTCTTCTCATTTACCTCCGACTACTTGATAAAAAAGCGAGCCTCCACAGAAATAACAGATAAGGTGCCTCGACGTGAGTGTGGGACAAAAATGAAGACCTTTGACAAGTCATTTGGCGTTCTAGTTTAAGCAAGTGGTCATAAAGCAAAACCAGGGTACTTGTGCCATCAGGAAGGATAATGTAGTTGACTGTACGACCGCCTCGATAAAATAGAAAAGGGAGCGCACCGATCGTAGACTGGGCATTTCCAGGCCTTTTGCATCTCAATAAGCTGATTAACAGTCAGCCGACGCCAATTAATAAAGACGGCGGTGATTGGTCGACTAACTTGATATCGGCTGGACTTATTAGCCAGCGGTTGGAAGTGGTCCTCCACAACCTGAGTGAGTTCCTGCCAAACGCCTTTAGTGAAAAATTGGCCACTGTTGAATCCGACGGATCTAAGATTCATGTGGACCTGAAACACACAATTATAGAGCAAATACTTTCGTCTAACTACGCAAACTCGGAATGTGTTTAAAATCTCACCACATTTTCTACGGTCCAACCTCCTATTGAATCAATTAGAGACCTCGCCTCTTGTTCATCAGGTCCTTTCGCCATCTGACTGACCACAAGTCCTCCATTTTCAGTAGAATCAATTGAACTGACATTCAAGTCAAGCTTACGACAAAGCTTTGCGCTACGGACAACTAAGGAAAGAAGGATGACATTTACACGGCAAAATGATAAACATTTGAAACTCCGTTCAACTAAATGCAAATCAACGATATGCATCTCGTTTGACAAGTTTGCCATAACCCTTAAAAAGTGTAATTCTGTGGGCTTGGGTCTGTGACAAATGACTCAAGGCAAATGTAAACAACCAAAGTCATTCAACCAAAAAGCATGAGAAAAACACTTTGGCAGGTGAACGATAGTCACCGGCCTTTTTGCGCTGTCATGATTTGTACATTCGACCTGAGTTATGGGGTCCCAGGCCATAGATAAAGTTGACACGATAAAAAGTAGTCAGCTAACTGAAAACGGCTACTGACACTGGTAGCGTCTACAGACAAATACAGATGTAAATTAGTGACCAGTTCAGCCGAAAGATTTGATGCATATGTATATTAATTACGTGATCACAAACACAACTTGCACAACCTTGAAAAATCATATCTGATTTGCCAATCCAGATACAATGAATGATGTAAAGTAGTGAATCGGGACATTCGTCAGACCATTAAGTAATTAAGATTTGCCCTATTTCTAGAAAGGAGTAGCAATTCTATCTCGATTATCGTAAAGAAAGCCGAAATATAGGAAGAGGAAACACGTTCTTACATTGACGTACATCGTCTACAATACAATGACGTTTTCACAAATACCAGGTTCCTCGAACATTGTGGAAAAGTGGCTGCAAAAAAGTCCCCCACGAAATCAGGTAGTTTAAAAATTATGCAACCCAACCTCGCATGCGTACTGCCTGAGGCGCAAAATAACTTACTCGGCTGTACAATGAGTACGTTGTGAGTAGAGGATAAGGGCAGAGTGTGTTCAGGGGGCAAGACATCCAATTGCGATAATCCACTAGCTGAAGAGGACAAAAACCTAGCACCCTCTCGTGTGACTCGAAAAACATTTTTCTGAAAAGGGAGAACATTAAAGATGGGATATTAATGAAAAATTCGTCTAAAAGATGTCAGAAGGGCGAATTCTAGTTGGCCACGTTGCAGTTGCATCCACTGTGATGTTTCGCTGACCTCTAGCATTTTCGTGGTGAATATTACATTCACAATCCAACAAATTTGATTAAAAAATATCTCCTAATATCTTTACCTGCAATGAATGAATAGGGAATCATTGGTGTGTCTACATTTGTAAATTTACCGTTACGAGTGCTTCAGCCATTGGCCATTCAGAAAGCATCGCTAAGAATAATTTACTTGAACAGTTTAACGATTCAAAAATCCAAAAGAGATGTGAACGCAACAACCGAAGAAGCCCCGGACTTAAAGACAAAAGCCTAATTCGTCTAAACCATTTGAAATGGTCTACATACGACCGCTAGAACTGTGAGCACATTTGTACCAAGGATTTTCCGAATAGGTCACACAACATGTGTCAATATACTATTTCTCCACACCCCAGCCCCTTATTCAAATGAGGTCAAACCAACATGCCAAACAAAAATACGGTCGTGGTGTTTCCACAGTGAATTAATCGGAAGACGTG